CCATCTGCCTTAGCCTCTGAGAACTTGTTGGGTTTCTGGATATACATATTTCCTTTGTTTCCTTTATTTCCATTCCTTTTCTCTTCCCCTTCACTTCAACATTCATGTGTCATCCCTTTTTTAGCTAATTGAAGACACCCATGACTCTTAATAAATTAAGTATGGCACATCCACAGAGTGAAATACTGAGAGAATATTGAGAGAGAGAAAGAGACTTAAACAGTTTCTTATTTTTATTATGGAAACACGTCTAAGATATTACTAAAAGAAAAGCAAAGTGGAAGGGTATGTATAATGTTTCCCTTAATGTAATAAAGGAGAGTATATGCACATACATTATATATAGTCATATGTGCATATAGGCTTTTTGCATTAAAAAAACTGTGAAAAATTTTAAGAAATAACTATGAAAAGTGGTTGCCTACTGGGTTATAGTAGAGGTGAATAGCAGTATATAGAAATGGGAACATAATAAAGATTTTTTTCTAGAATTTTTATATTTAGGTTTTATTCTGGTTTTGAACCATCTTGCTCCATCATCTTTTCTTAAATTCAAAACAAACAAAACAAAAATCAAAAATGCTGTCATAAACTGAAAAAGAAAAAAAACAATCTTTATAACCACAGCCCATATAAGAACCTCAAGGCACCTGGGGAGGGGAGCTAGCACCTGATGTTACAAGAATATCTACCTTCACAGACTGTAACCATTTCTGTAAACTACCCTGAAGAGTATGTCACCAACAGGGAGATACATGGGAAAAGTAAATAAATAAACCGTGATGCTGGACAGCCCACCTACATGCAAAATGTGGACATTCAATTTATGTATTTCCCTGCTTAATGATACTATTGTTCTTTATAACCCTTAGTCATAATCTGCTTAGCAGGCCAACCCTATCAGGATCTCAAACTGTCCTTCTGGCCTTACCTCCTACTACTATACTTGTAGCTAACAAAACTAGACAAAGACAAAAACAAAAACAAAACTAGACTCTTCCTCTGACATTGTGTGCCCGGGCACATTCCCTTCCTGTCCTCAAACTCTGAATCCTACCTCTCTCTGAAAACTATTACAAATCTTTCCTCCCAAACTGTCCTGATTTCTCTGATAGGACATAATCAAATGATGTCACAACTGGAAATTCTCTACTTAATTTCCTGGCACATTAAAGAAATACAAAATGTTTCCTGGATTTCTGAATCCTAATAGAACATTCTTTACATCTTTTTTATGGTACTTGACACATTTCACTTGCATTATAACTGTTAACATAATGATCCCACTAGATTATAGACTTTTAGAAGAAAAACACTGTGTTCACCTGTTCAAGACAGGTGTTCATATATGAGGTACCTCTTGAAAAATACTTTAAAATTCAGTTTAATTGAAACACTTCATTCGGATCTATCTTTAAACTGATACTGTATATCTGTCTGATTATGAAGTGTGGAGAATTCGAATAAGCAGTGTTTTTAAGTGTGACCATAAGTGGCTGTGTAGTGGAGTCACCCTTTCTTCTGAGGAAAGCATTTTCGTTTCTATGTGTGAAGACCCCTCCATTCAGCTAAGAGTACACGTGTTGCTGGGTCAGGCGGCTCCTCAATGCAAAAGAAGGCCGGTGACCTAGTCCAGTCACTTATGGTGTTTGTGTCTTAGAGTCCATGATTAGCTCCACTATGGTCATGTGGCAAAATTCAGTCCAGTCAGATCCCAATCTGAGACCTTTACTGTGGTGATAGGGGAAAGCCAATCTTCTGCAACAGGGTCTGAAAGGTCAAATGTAAACCTAAAGCTTTCTTGTCAACTCTGTAAGATTCTGTCAGAGAGGGCTTATAGCACAGTGCGGAAAAATTGAAAAACAAAAAACAAGCAAACAAAAAAACTAAGAAATAAAGAAAATAAAACCCAATCTTAATTATGCTGTGTGAGCTCCTGGATCCCACCATGCCTGACTTCTCTTTCCTTGGATTTTTCAGTTCTACAAATCAATGCCTATCTCTGGTGCCTAAGCTAATATTAATTCAAATCTATCATTTGAAAACAAAGGCATTTTGCCAACTCTAACCTGAAATGTAGAATACTTATAAGTATATTTTCAAGTCTAGCTATATAATATTTATTGAGCAGTGCAAAAAAAAAAATATGTTTCTGGTACCCAAAGCTTTAAATTCAGAGTATTAAATGGTTTAAAAAATACACATAACTGATTATGTTAAATATTTTCTAAGTGTATGGGGATATCAAAATAATCTTAAGACATAGTACAATTAATTTTCAGCCACTACAAGATGGTATATATTTGCATAGGAATACGTTATAGAAATGGATACATTTCTGCCAAATATTTACCCCCCCCCCCAACTATTTGCTACGGTATAATTCTTTTCACTTGACTGAAGTCCTCAACATGTAGCCGTTCTTTGGATCCTATCTGTTGAGAGAGCTTATTAAAATTATACCAGGGGCACCTGAGTGGCTCAGTCAGTTAAGCGTTTGGCTTCAGATCAGGTCATGATCTCATCGTTCATGAGTTTAAGCCCTGCATCAGGCTCTGTGCTGACAGCTCAGAGTCTGGAGCCTGTTTCAGATTCTGTGTCTCCCTCTCCCTCTGCCCCTCCTCTGTTCACCCTCTGTGTCTCTATCCCTTTCAAAAATAAGCAAACATTAAAAAATATTAAAGAAAAAGTAAATAAAATTATACCAGACAGGGTAGGGGAGGCCTAAGAAGTAAAAAGAAACAAAGCTCTCCTGGGAGCATGATATCTTTATCATATGCCCTAAGTGCTGAGAAAGAAGATGAGTAGGTTTTAAGGACAATGGGAATGGGATGGAAGGAGCCAAGTGTGGTCTGTCCTTCTAGGTACCAAGGCTGGGAGACCCTAAATTAGGGACAGATCAGGCCACTCCAAAACAAAGCATAGAAAGGGAATAAAAGGAGGAAATACCATAGAAAAAAAGTCTCTTTTCTGAATTTTGCAGAATACTGGCCCCAAGTGGAAAAGCATGATATACTTTTAATAAATCAGTTTTGAAATTACTCTCCAAATGAGATTCTCTGCGTTGTTTCATTTCACCAAAATGTGTTTATTTATTCACTTAAAATGTATAAAGGTATAGTAACCTATAGTACCTCATTTTTAAGTGACTATTTAAGATTTTGTATATTCAAGAGATAATGCGTTACTTCTTTTTACAAATAATTCTGAGAGTATCTTAGTTTATGTCTATCATCTCTACTTGTTGCTCTTTATAACTCCATACTAAGCTACATTTATTTCGTTCTTAGTTTTATAAATTCTTCATAAGATACTTATATTTTAATTTGACCGTTTCTGCAAGAAACAATCATCTTACAAAGAATTTGGCTTTTATAAATATGAAATGGTTTAAAAAACTGCAGTGGACATTTTTTCAGTGCCAAACACTTCTGTGGATTCACTCTTGCTAATATGTAAGTACTACATATATTTATTCATGTGATGTTCTTTTATAATAAAATGAAATAAAGTAATAACATATCAACCAAAACTATCTGAATTACACAGCTTTTGTAGATGCAGAGGTTCAGAACCACAATATTGAAGACAGATTTAAATAATGCTTTCCATTGTGTGGAAATGTAACAAATTGAAAAGCTAATCAGAATATCAAAGCAAATATATATTACCAGGGTCTCCCTTTTTCCTTTCACTATAACAATAAAAGATGTATTGAACACCAAGTCCTAATCTCCATTTTTCTGTGATCCTTTTAATAGTCAACAAGTAACTAGCCTCAGTATTGACAACTGAAGAGGTCTTAAAATAGAGTGTACTAATATGCCTAATAATTTCCTACTAAATTGACCATATCAAAAACATTTATATGTGTCTTTCAATAAAAGATAATAAAGGAAAAGAATTGTTGCCACTTTATCAACTGCGTAACCATTTTTTAATAACACACAAAAAAATAGGTGTTGTGGGGCCATCACTTCCCCCATTCAACAGCACAATAAAAATAATATCAGGGAAGAGTATATCATATCTCATGCTTTTATTAAAATTCTTTCAAAAATTGACACTCGGATTTATTTTAGGTATTTGTCTCTGAGCTTAGCAGCACTTTATATTTTTGTACATATGTTACAGAACACAAAGACATTTTGTAAAAGGAAGAAGTTAGTATAAAAGATAAGTTCTTGTCACTTTAAGATTAACAAGTCCTTTTCATTTCTAAGGTTATTATTTTGGAAAACTTCAAAGAAAGAAAATTACATAATTATATGAATAACAAAAATATATCCTAATTTGCCCCTTTTCCCAAAAGTAACCTTCAACAAAGGTTCTTTTTTAAACAGAGAATTTTGCTAGTGAAATAGAAACTTGCCCTCATTTCACCCTATATCTTAAATAAAATTTAGGAAAATAATATAAAATATTCAAGTGTCATAACAAAGAGCTTGGTTTTGCATTTTAAAACTTTCCTGTTTTTTAATAGTTATTTAAAAAACTACACATTTGATAAACTACAACTTTGCAAAGGCTTCTAATGTTAACTTTAACCCAACACTTTATACTGGATAACTTCCGTGCTGCAACTCAGAGGTTATTTCTTATTGTAACAAAGTGCCTTTTTCTCTTTCCTTATCTGGATCCTGAATAGTACATATTTTGTAAAACGATCAGTTGAAGATGCAAAGTCCCTTATTTTCTCTAGTAGTTAATTTTAAAAGCACTTTCAAACTAAAAGTATACCTTACTCTGTCTTTAACAGTTTAGTACAAAATCTTAGCAAATGATTCTATTGTAATATCTTCTAAGGGACTTTTGAACTTGGCAGTTGCAAATATAAAAAGAATATTCTTTTCTACACCAAGGAAACAAACAGATGTTTTAATCACAGGTGAAAACACATTTTCATAGAAATATTTGTATATTCACACCAGAGAGTAGGATACCGCCAAACATTTTCATGTTTAAATTTCATATTCACTGTAAAGTTAAAATTTGCTTACCTTTTCTCGGTGATCACTTGTTATTGAAACTGCCATCAACTTCCAACTGTTAATGACTCTTTCAACAAAAACGGAAAACAGTAAAGTCACATGTCATAAGAGTAGGCCTATGTTGGATGCTGCTTAATTTCAGTACTGGAGAAAAAAAAAAAAAAAAAAAAAAGCAGGGGGGGTTGGGGCGAGCACAAAAAACTTTAAAATAAAACCACTTCCTGCGTAGAGACAGTTAACCACATACACATCATTACTCGATTTGAAGAAATTGCCTTGTATAGTCAACAATATTTTTATTTTTCAATGTGCTTTTCAATTTTCAAACACTACTACATTTCTACAGGTTTCATCAATTCTGGTTTAATGGGGAAAATGTGTGGTTAAAAATGTAGCAGGGGGAGGAGCAGGAGGGTAAGCAAGGAGGGAACTTCCTCTTTCTCTCCTTCTAGCAAGAGCTTCAAACCTAAGTCTCTGCTATCCTCTGTTGGCGTGAGTATATTCACATAGCACCAAGAGGCCCCGCTTATTGACGGGGAAGCCGAGAAGCCACTTCCAATTCACGAGCTGATAATTCCGTCTCGTGGACGGACCAACAAAGAGGTGGTCCAGTTACTAAATACAATGTCTCGGACAGGTTGCTAACCAACTTCAGAGAACACAGCCCAGGGCCCCAGTGCCACCTGGAGGAAAGAAGCGTGCTTATCTAGCACGTGCTGTGACACTCACTTTGGTGGCGGCTCACACACTGGTGTGTCCTCTCTGGCAGTTTCCTAAGCAGTTCTGAAATCTGCTGATGAGATTTTGCTCTAGCCGAATGATTTTTTGTGTGGCCTGATTTAAGAAGAAAAATAAAGGATAAAAAGGGTGTCATTTTTGGCAAGCTGCTAGTGCTCATTTGTGTCAAACTTCAACCAATCTCAGACATATTTGGGGGGGGGGCGGCTCTCAACAATAACTATAGGATGGGCATCTTTATTGAACCATGGAGTTCAAGAAATAAGTTCCTGGATGTCCAGGCTTGGCTGGTTTTGTGAGATTTGCAGGATACTCACAAAGGGAAAAGCTCCCCTTCCAAATATATGAGAAAGTTAAATCACATCTTCTTGTCATACAAACCAATTAGCCTGGAAATCTGTGTAATAGCTCTCAGTGGTGTGGAATGTTTGGCACACATAAAGACAATCATATATATATACACACACACACACACACACACACACACACACACACACATATTTGTTACATGTGGCCCAAGTGAAGGATGGCATGTCCCTACAAATTGGTCTAATTTCTCCAAGACCTCCTTTTCAAAATTATATTTCAGACTGACTCTAGATCTTACTATCAATTGTCATCCTGGGATGCACCTTTTTAAGTGTTTAGAGCCGTGAAGTTTGTACTCAATATTCTCCTTAAGACTGAGGAAAAACTGGAAAGAACATGATATTGGAAGGGAGGAAATCAGAATTCAGGCCTCAATTCTGACACTGCTATTTGTTTAACCTTGGCCGAGTCACTTCAGTTCTCTGAGATTCGGGTTATTTTTGATATACCGGAACACACAATTAAAAACCGTCTATCTGCTAGGGTAAAAGTGAAGTTCTGGTTCACAAACCTGGCGACTTCCCGGTGAAATCTGAAACTGGCTTCCATTCAGAGAGGCCAAGGAGAGACGGAAGAGAGAGGGAGCCCCTCCAGATGGGTAGGTTGCAGGTTTAATAAGCAAGGGAACTCACGTGCGAAGCTGGTCTTAGGAGGCCACGTGACAAGTAGATCTCCTCACCAGAATCTTAAAAGTTTATTTAGAGGCCTTAACTGAGTTCATCTCATATTCCCTCCAGGCAGCCTTAGCCACGCATTCTCTTTCAAAGCTGTATCCTTAAAAAGACTCCCACTGTGGGAACTGTGGGCAGAATGTACATTTCAAGGACAGAGGAGGGGCTGAGGAGCCTGATTGCCCAGGTGTGGTTCCTGGGTCAACCTGGGGTCAAGTCCTCTTGATGACCTCCTCTGAGGATCTCTCTCCTGACTGGCTCTTAACATCTTTCATGCCTGCCCCCCCCCCCCCTTATAATGTGTGCTGAGAGTTAACAAGAGGTTTTATTAGCTGGGAGGTGGCTAGTCTCATGGCTTTGTGGCCGCACAGGGGGCAGATACCACAGCAACAATATAGAAACATACAAGAGAAAAAACATAGATTAAGATGATGATTTTAAAAATAAGTAACAATTTTTTTTTAATGAGAGCTGCATGCTTTAAACCCTTGATTTAAGTCCCCTAGGCTGGGGTTCAGAGTGTTGTTTGTATTTTCATGTGAATTAATAACATCAGCAGACTCATTTTGTTTGGAGAATGGAGAAATGCCTCCTTGTGAGGCAGTAATGATGTTCCAGGTCATCTCATTTGGGAGGACAGCTTTTCTCATTGGAGACATTTTAGGGTTCAGTAAAGACAGGTTTTGATGGCTATCATTTAAGGCTTGTTGGGTGAATTTAGTAGGGGCTTCTATGTGTGCTACAGCATCCTATAGGCCCATGCAGGGGACAAAGATGGTGGCCAAGTAATTGTACCAATGGAAAACTAGAAGTGCCTTGAGAGGAAAGTTGGCAGTTTTTGTTACTGTGGGGGGATTCTCCCCTGTGTCCAGGGAAAACCCAGAGTGTAGTGACCCAAACACCCAGGTGAAAGCCATGGCCAAAGGTTTGTGCCATATAACCACTGGGTTTCATTTGGGGATAGCCAATGAACCATATCAGGCCATATCAGTCAGTGCCAAACCATATCAGTCAGTGCCAAACCAGCCACTATCCTCTGATATGACAGAATGACTATATTGTTCTCATGATCTTTATCCCATATCCCTAGTGTGTCTGGGTTGGTTTTATTTAGAGCGATTTTTCTGTTCCCAGCATAAGAGTTCCTTGGCGTTCAAATGCCCATAACCCAGGGTGAGCTACACCCACCTGTCCCAATCAGAACACAGCCATCCATGGCTCTGATAGTGGCATTTTCAGGGCCCTTTTGGTCAGCCGTTTGATGGGCTGCCTGCAGTTGGATTAACAAAAAAGGAATACCCACGCCCAACATTATCGATAGTGTGTGCCACAGGCAAGGTTTTTGGATCAGTATTGGTAAGATCAGTTCTAGTTCTAGTTTGTTCTTCCTTCAAGTATTAATTAGGGCTTTTCTTTTCTTTTTAAGTTTACTTGTTTTGAGAGAGAGAAAGGCAGAGAGAGTCATTGGGGGAGGGGCATAGAGAGGGGGAGGAGAGAATCCTAAGCAGGCTCCACACTGTCAGCACAGAGCCCGATATGGGGCTTGAACCTACGAACCATGAGATCATGACCTGGGCTGAAACCAAGAGTCAGATGCTTAACCCACTGAGCCACTCTGGAGCTCCACTTTAGGGCTTTTCAATCCTCTCCCTGGAATGGTCATACCCACCATGGCAATCCTGACAAACCAGAGAGGGACAGCTGCCCACATACCCAACAGCTAGATTGATTCCTTTGTCAGACATATAAGTGGGACCACTGTACAAAGGTATTTCTTTCAGGTGCCTATATCATAACTAGACTCCATAGGAGCAGGAGAAGTCCAAGGTTGAAAAGACAAATTTCCTAAGAATGTGTATGGGAAGGTCGTCCCCTTCTATACAAAGTATACTTGTGGCCTGATCCTTAGCTGTTAATGTGGCTGCAGCTTTAGGAATTTGAGCTTGTTGTACAGAACCTACATGTTAGCCTGGGCATGTAGCACTGTCAGGCATGAAATGGACTGGAGGCTGGATATGCAAGACCACAACCCCCATCTTCTCCCCTCCTTTAATGGTGCATATTCCAACTCAAGTATAATGCATTTTTCTAGGTCTGGCTTATAGCAGGATGATGGGATCTTGGTGGAGATTAAGTAGTTACCCTTCACCCAGGGATTTGATGTAACTCACCTATCCCAATAGGATGTCCCATTGTAAATTCCAAGAGAAAATGCCTTTTCCAGGTGTGATGGGGCTTAGCGTTCTCAGCAACATAATACATTAATATATGGTGAAGGTCAGGGCGATAGCTGTCTCCTGTGACTTCCATACCTATAGGATTGAGTGTCTCAGCAGGGGTCCCTAGTCTGGTATATGGGGCAACAGGCCTTACTGGTTAATCACTTAAATATATTAAATCTGGGACAGTATGTTAGTCCACTTGGCCAAGGCAGTTTTATTTGTTAGTAATTTAATCTATTGCTTTAAAATTTCATTTTTCCTATCAACCCTGATGCTTGCTGGTTATAGGGGATAAAACTTCCATTCGATGTCACAGTGTTTTGACCAGTATTGCATATCATGACCATTAAAATATGACCTTGATCACTGTTTATTTGATGAGGATATCCATACGTAGTACTCAGCTTCTCTAGTTCCCTAATGGTGCCAGCCCAGTTTGCACGACAGGGGAAAGCTTGGGTTAGTTCAGATTCAGTGTCCATATAAACCAAGACATATTTAGAACCCTCACTCTAGGGGCACCTGGGTGGCGCGGTCGGTTAGGCGTCCGACTTCCGCCAGGTCACGATCTCGTGGTCCGTGAGTTCGAGCCCAGCGTCAGGCTCTGGGCTGATGGCTCAGAGCCTGGAGCCTGTTTCCGATTCTGTGTCTCCCTCTCTCTCTGCCCCTCCCCCGTTCATGCTCTGTCTCTCTCTGTCCCAAAAATGAATGAACGTTGAAAAAAAAATTAAAAAAAAAAAAAGAACCCTCACTCTAAGGGCAGAGACCAATATTATTATTGATTTGCCTCCTTAGCCAGTTGGGAACTCTGTCAAGTGGTCCCAGACTCCTTCAGCAGTTGCCTTCCCACAAGTCCAATCTATTTTATCTACTGAATTGCTAGGTCTTGTGCTCAAACTAGGACATCAGCTTCTTGATTGTCAGGGGTTATTAGTACCTTATGACCCCACAGCTCCTTTAGGCTCTTGCAGGTGAACTCAAATGCCTTTCCATATATATTGACTCCACAAGGGTTTATTCATGATCACCCATTCCTTGGCTTCCCATTGTTCAAGTCATGGGGTTAATCTTTTTATATTTTATTTTATTTTATTTTATTTTATTTTATTTTATTAT